TGACAGTTTAACTTTCTTATTATATGACATCATAACCAAGGGACTCACGTCATAAGTTATGGATATAATCCTCACAGAAATGACTTTCTAAAGAAATCTTATTTTTCTTCACAGATGTTTTTGTGACCACACAGCTCTTGTGCTGTTTGGGAAACATCAGTCGCACGGAAATGTTAATGACATCAGTGAGCGTGCTGGTTCTCATTACGTCTGCAGCACAAGGCTGCATATTGTCAGTCTGAGCCATGCACAATAATGTGGGCTCCACGGTCTTTCACATGAGTCGATTTTACGCCATGGCAGTGCCTAGCAACACTAACTCCACTGCATATAGCAACATGCAACACATTACACAACAACAAACTGGTTTTTAATCACAAGCAACAGTTAGTTACCTTGAGACCAAGTTAAACAGCTACCTGAGGGGCTCACTTTCTGAATGAAGCACCCTTTATAAAGAAGTTATAAACTGTAAAAATAACACCGTTACTGCTTTATAGCTCTGTTATAATCCATTAATAAGAACAACTTTTGGGTTGCCAGATTGTGTAAAATCTTGCTTTTATCGTGACCCTTTGCTTGTCTTTAAAGATGGCTCTTTGATTCATTAGACTGCTTGTCCTCTGGGGAAAGGCTGCAGGGCATCTGGACCAAAATCCATTAAACATCTTATTAAAATTTGCAACTGCAGGCTTGATGAACTGTAGAACCTTTTATTAATGACTTATTAACCTTTATAATTGCAGGTTACTAATGTTTGCTAATGGCTTATTGAAAAATGAGAAACGCAAGATCCTTTATTGATGTCATACTAACATTTATATCTGCAAACCTGATGAATTATTAGAAAGTGTGAAACCCTTAGTACTTAATAATCCAATAGTAATCCAATAATCCAATAAATCCTGCATTCAAAATCTTACTTTATTAAAAGTGTTCTATGCAAAAGAACACAATACTTCTTCTACCACTGTCAGTAAGTTAGGCCTCTGTCTAAATTCACTTACAGTTTCAGGTTTACATATTTGTCTCTGTTGTTTGACTTCAGAGTCAAGTCAAAGGTTTGCAGAAACGTGCCTGAATATTAAAACAAATAAAACAGTGAATGCATTCAGGTGTTTATTCAGGGAGCAGCGCTGCCACTATAAAAAAGTCTGAGTAAGGTTGACCAAGTGATAAGAGCAAACAGGGTGTAGAGGATTTTACTGTACGTGCAGATACAAGCCTTTTTTTAGAATCACATTATTGACCCTTAGACGTAACCCTCCTCCAGCACCTGTATCAGGTTGACGACCTGTCCCTCATAAAGTAATAATCCCTGCCCTGTCAGGAGCTTTATGCCAGTCAGGTAGGTGTTTTAGAGCCGTTGAGCAACGGACAGTGCTGCTGAAGTGAAGAAGCGCGCTGCCAAGGAATGGACAGCATGCAGGCACTGCCATTGTCTGCCAAGTCTGTAATCACGCAGCCTCATGTTGGCAGGCCTGGCAGGGCAAAGACCTGCCAACCACAGAGATTCAAGAGGCCTTTCAACACTAAATGTCTACTATGTCCCAAGATCTGTCGGTCACATTACACTGAACCCAAAACCGCTTGCAACACCCCGGTTCACCCCAAGCATCAGATCATCATATCTAGACAACACTTGACATCAAAGTGCCGATTTCTATAAAGCCATAAGCGTTGATCATAAACAGAATTTATAATGCACAGAAAATGCTATTTAACGTTTAAGAATAAAGTGGAATGATGCTTCACGCTCTTTCTAAATGTCTGCTGTGCATGATGAAACAGCACATCTTCCCCACAACCTGGAGCCATTTCAAGTCTGCAATGCACAGACTGAGTGGTTGCAACCATTTGCTCTCAGGTTTCTCAAGACATTAATGTGACTGGGGAGACTTGTGCCGTAGCAGTAAGAGCTGTATTACAGAATATCACTGTCATGGTTCAAGCCCTTTGAGATTTGCCTGGAGAGAGTACGTAATGGAAAATACACATTTACAACATAAATTTGAAGAGATGACACTAATTTACAACAAGAATTATTCGTCCAAACAAATAATTTAGTGTTATACTCTTTCCACTCCCACACCCTTACACTATTGGTACTCTTGTTTACAGATTTCAGCTGTGTTTGATTTGTAGCCAATATATGTATATATTCTTTAAGTTATATGCGCATAGTTTCTTCTTCCTGACCTCTGAAAACTAGAATAATATTAGGCTACAAGTGGGTGAGATAAATCAGTGTCAAAGGAATAATTTGATATTTTGGAGTATGCTTCTTCTTGATTAGAGTTGGATCTAGAAGATTGATACTACTATGAAGCTGCAGCCAGCAGCTCGTTAACTTATCTTAGCATTAAGAATGGAAACGGAGGGGAACAACTAGCCTGGCTCTGTCTCTTAGCAAAAGTTAACAAAATCTGCTTACCAGCACTCACAGCTCACTGATTAACATGTTGTATCTTGTTTTATAGTGCCTTTTGTGCAGGACTGTTTCTTGGCTGGTTGCAGTAACTTCATGGAGTGTCTGCTGGTTGCCTGGTAACTGCTAAAGCCAAGAAATAATCAGGACTATAACAACCCTCCATAAAATGGTAATTTTTTTTTTATGCTTCAGTTTTGTACTAATTAGCTAAACCATATGATTTGTTAATGAGTGAGATTTATGGTGCTAGTAGGTAGATTTTGTTACCTTTAGACAGCTGTTTGAAGCTAAGCTTCACATTAGGTGTACAGATACAACAATTTTCTTATCTAACAAACAAATATACATATTTCCCAAAATACTGAACTCTTGCTGTAAACAGTTGACATATCACCACCTTTTAAGTTGATATGGTGAACAGTTGCCTGTTTACACACATTGTGTTTCTGATCACCTGGTGAACAGAAATCCATCATTCACTTTTCTTTTTAGCTCTGTATTTGGTCTCCACCAATTTCTGGGGGACATATCTGACTCTAAATGCTCCACTATGCTCACCAGCTGGTCTCTAGCTGCATCTGTCTGCTGTTTGGTGCTCAGCAGGTAGTCCACAATGGGTTTTTAGAGCTTTCTCACAAAGAACAGCTTTTTCACTGCTGCGACTGAAAATTATGCTGCGAGAGAGGTGAGAGCGGAACAAAACAATAAAGTTGTGGAGCAGACAGCAAAACGAGGACCTTAAATTCGCTATAAAGCTCTGTAAAGCCGAGGCGAGCTGAAGGTTTAGGTGATAATTATTTGTAGGTTCATAATTGCGAGCAACTTTCAAGGTGTCACATTGTTTTCGCATTTTCATTTGAAACATTGTAATTCTACATCATATAGATCATAGCTGCTTCATGTGTGGACTCAATAATAGATTAAATGACTAGTAAATATGTAGATTGGTTTGCTGTAAAGAAAAAGAATAGAAACCCCATTTCTATTCACATTCGCTGTCTGGCCAGCTGTCACCAGTTTGGTTGACCCAGTTAATCTGAGTGGGCTGAGCCACACTGACCAGCACAGCCATTTTGAGTTGCAGCCATTTGTATGGCCCATTGTGAGTGAAAACAGAGGACTACAGCCTCTCACCACCACAGGGCTCATGCAGCACTTTTTATGCAAACTCTCTGCCCTCAGTGTCCTCGCTGCTGCTGGTCAGGGGAGCACCAGTTTGTTTGACCATGTCTGCCCTCCACTTGCTTCCTGGATGCCCTTCATCGCACTACAATCTCTTAATCACAGCTATGCCTTTGAGAGAGAGAGAGAGAGAGAGAGAGAGAGAGAGAGAGAGAGAGGGGGGGAGGGAGAGAGAGGAGAAAAAACCCTTTGCAAACGGATTGGCTGCTCTTGGTGGAGCTGTTGCTAAGGGGAGGGTTCCACTCAGTGATGGATAGATGTGGCAGCTGATGAGGGCAACCGCTTTGAGCAACATATACATCAATTTGATGTTTAGTTTATACTCCACTGGCATCATGTTCAATGTGACAAAGCTGCAGAAATGTGTGACTGATATCTAGTCTAAATCTCCTCCAGAGGGTTTAAAGATCATGTCTGTGCCACCAGGGTGCCATTTATTTTTTAACAAGTTTATTGTCTCAACAAAAAGTCTTATCACTTCTGATAGGTCAATGCACTTTACAGCTTTTTATGGCCATCTTTCAGCCATTATTCCCACCATTTCAGATGATTAGTGGACTGTGTAAATGTCAACAAAATTATTAGACTAAGAAGGGAATGACCATAAAAATAGGTTAAGGACTAAAGGGAGCTGTTACATCTTGATTCTTTGTGACGATATAGGCACAATTACATATTTAATCATTAAGTATTTTGTCTTAAATCAAGCCGACTTGTAAGGAAAACAGTGCACAAAACCACTCCTATCAATTTTTTGTTTTAAGAATGCAGTTTGTAATTATTCATTTTCTGAAGAAACCTATGAAAATCAAAGTTAACTACATTGAATTGCAATACTTACAGGTATTTGTTAAAAACATGTTATTGATGGTGCTTAACCGCATCTGCAATCTAGGGGAAAAAAAAAACAAAAAAAAAAAACAAAAAAAAAAAACCCAAACACTTTACTGCACCCCAAAAAGGTGAACAGGCTGCAGGATATTCTACTAAAGTGCTACAAAAACATTACTGCAGGACATTTGCCTATCAGCACACCTGTCTGCAAAAACAGCATGGAGGAGTGTCTAAGGAGAGCCATGACCTCTTTTGCAAACACAGCTTTACATCTTTAGGCAAATCCCTCAACACCAACATTATATAAAGCTGCGAAACTTGCCCTACATTTGGAGAGAGGAAAAAACTGAGTCAGTTGTAGTTTCCATGTTGTGGCATGTCAAAATGCATCACCACACATTCCTGCTCAGGCTTTAAGCACTTTACACAACTTGTATTGGGACCAAAAAAAAAAAAAAAAAAGTTTCTAAAAAGGAACTATTAAAGGAAATGGCATCAACACCTTTAACATCCTTCCTGTTGACAGTGACAAAAAGAAACAAAGCCAAAAAAATTAAAGTTTCCAATTATTTATTTCACTTTTACTGCATTTCTGCATCAATATAAAATTGGTTTTGAAATATCCAAGGACAAACAAATGAGCCATTTCATCATAAATACCGTGATGAACCATTTAAGCAGACAGACAATGAGGGAGTTAACTGAACAGGGCAAGAGGGTATACAAAAAGTCAAGGCACACCATGTTACAGTAACACCAAGTGGAAAGATTTGAAACCTCTGTGGGTTAAGAGCCCTTCAGCTCAGCATTAAAATCATTTCATGTTTTTAAAAAGGAGGGACAGAATAACCAGCATTCAATATCTCCTACAGTCAAACCTTTTATTCACAATCAGACACATCGATCTGATGACAAATTCACGTTCAAATTTGAAATGAAAAAACAAGAAGGGTGGGAAAGTTTCTGCATAAACCAGAGCTGTGCTTCATTTGGACTTGGGAACAGATTCAATTAACCTCCACCAAGCACGAAATGTCAAACCACTGCACTGACGAACGGGCGCAGGTAGACATGTGCAGGCGTCACTGGTTTCAGGTATGTTTTGTGTGGGGAAGAAGAGGGAAGTTGGAGTGTCGCTACACAGGAGTGAGAAGTCACAAAGTGGTTGCCCTGGTCAGTTCACTGTCCATTGAGATCTATTAAGAAGAGATGGGGGCCCCTTCAACACATCCCATTGTTGGAGGTCAAGCAGTCAGGGTGGGGAGGGAGGGGGATAGTAGAGACTTCTATCTCATGAAGTTTCCTCCTCCGATTTCTCTCTTGTATCTGTTGGTGAGGTGGTCTGCTTGCATTGTGAGCTTGGACAGAACTCCAAACAGTCCTCTGAGGTGATAATGAAACTGATGCTCCAGGTCCAAGTTGTCGTCCGGTAGCAGATCCCCGGTGACCGGCTGCTGTTCCTCCTGCTTCACCGCCATCTCCAGGAAGCTGGCGCCGCTGCTCATTTCCCTCTTCAGCAGACCCCACTCCATGTCGTTCTTTATGGACTTGAGGAGCAGGTAGTGCTCGTACATATCCCTCTGCTTGTTGGGACACGGCGGTTCATTGTTATTGTTGGCCTCCACCTGGCTGGCCGCCTGCTCCTCCAGCGGCACGTCTCGCAGCAGACTGGGCACCATGATGGTCTCGTCCATATTGTTGGCAGCTGCTATGAAGCGGTGCATGACGTTGATGAGGGAGTGCTTGTTGCTGGCGGAGTCGCTGCTGATCTGCATCATTCTGAAGGCTTTAGGTTTGCTTGGTTACAGTAAAGAGCTGGCAGGTGGAGTTTAAGGCAGGGCTGCTTGATGTTTTAGAGGTGGCTGATCTGCAAGAGGGATTGAAGAAACATGAGAATGTAGGAAAGGTGCACACGATGAGCTCTGATGCTGCAAAAATGCAACAAATCCAGGCCTAATACACTCAACTCTTTCAAATACAGTTTCAGCATGGACAAAAAAAAAAAAAACACAGAAGAAAGAAACCGATTCATATCCTTCCTGCCCTGCCACCCCCCCACTCCCCCTACACAGAGTACAGCTAGGTTGCAGGAAACATGAAATAGAGGCAGCTTGTTTCTCATATCATCCACTGAACAAAACTGGATTTCTAGCAGCCAACAAAAATACACAAAACATCTCGACTACAACATGAACCATCACCGTCATTTTGCCGCATTGTAATGCCCGAATTACATCAGTATGACCTTGACTTCCTGCTTCTGAAATAATAGTGAGTACGCGCTACAGAGGCTTTAGATAAAAGGATGCAGACTGACCTGAACCACGAGGTAACCTGAGGAAAATATTTCTTGGCACGCTGGTTAAATAAACCAAGTCTTCTCAGGCTCAGCACACCACCCGCCGGGAAGGAACATGAAAATTTCCCCAACTGACTGAAAGCTGAACCCTGGTTTATATACCCGACACGCCGGGTTGGGGTGGAAGGAAAAAAATTAAGTCCACCCTCCGTCTATTTTCTGGAGAGCCAATTGGGCAGCATGAAGGATGTAGGCGGATTCAAACAGCATCTGATCCAAACGGGACCAATAACAAAACGCACCGCAGCTGCCAGTCAAATGTACTTTCTCCATGGCTTGTCTGTAATTAGCTGCACCCTATTTGCTGCTCATCTTTTCCAGGCCGTTTGTTGCCTGAAGGCAACGTTAATGCAAGTTTGCGCAGTTGCAACGGTGCGCGTCGTGCGTCATGCATCAGATTTGTCAAATGTGTATCAACAGGTGTTTTTCACCATTACACACAAAAACCGACACAAGGAAAAGTTTTGTGTGTCAGGAAAATGAGGAAGTCCAGCTTGAGCTTGATTTTTCGCTTGTATCTCATGTGTCGAGTCATTTTGTATCTATAGCTGCCTGAGTTTATAGCTGCACACGCACTGCCACCTGGTGGTTGGACTTTGTTAGTTCAAAGCTTTCTCACAGCCTATCTGAAAAACCGCGTCATCCCACTGATTTACTTTACATGTATGTTAGGTTAGGTTGATTCTACTACAGTCCTGAATTATTCTGAAGATGGTCTTACCTGATGGTTTTAGTTTGAAAATGCTCCACTGTCCAACTCTGATGTGAAACAGTGACATTAATTCTTAATACTGAGGTATCAACCCTTCAGGTTTATCTGCATATGTGAAAAAGTCAGCAGGGATGAGAGAGTATAGCAGACATTCTGATACAAGTGGCAGCAGGAAAAGCACAGGTGAATTTAATAAAATTGATTAATGACGAGGTGTGGCAGTGATGCAGCATCGTTAAGGTTATTAGTTACACCTGTGATTCTCTGTTAAATCAACATAGAGACAGACCAGTATCCATTCATTTACAGGAAAAAAAAGATTGATTAAGTCTAGAAAAACAACAATGTGTGTACATATTTGTATTTTGTTTTTTTGATAACCATCTGGTGACCTGGTGAGTACAGTATTTTCACAGCAAAATGTCTCATTGGTATTAATATTAGCTAAAATCTTTCTCAATAACATACGATATCTACTGTGTTCATCATGATTAACAACCTACAGTGTATAGTTTGAAGATGGAACACAGTTTACTGAGCTGAGTCTTTCAGGATCATTTACATACTGTTGCAGAGAATGTTTCATGTTGTGTACTTCAACATTACATTAGTCTGGGCATGGATGGTGGTGGGTGACAGTACAACTATTGTTGATTATTATCTATATTCACAATCCTTCAAGTCTGTCTTAAAACAGCTAGTCAGGTGCCCACATGAAACTTCTATCTTGTAATAATTCCTCTTGTGTATGTTGGCCATTAGAAGATCCCTTCCTAATGCACTTTGAATGTAAGTGATCATTATCATAATAATTTCCATATTTCCACTGACTGGCTTTAATATGAAAATAATATGATATAATATGAAAACAATTTAACATTTAAATATCACATAGATACCTTTGTTATCAAACTTTGACAGAAGCTCAGCTTTCTATACAGTAACACACACAGCTTCCCTGTGAGCAGTGGAAAGGATTGTTGAAGCAGGTTTCATCTCAGTCCTGGATTATGGAGATGTCATATATCAACATGCTGCTGCCCCCTCTCTGAGGCCACTAGACTCCATTTACCACTCTGCCTTCAGGTTTATTGTTTTACTGCAGATAATTATAACACTCACCATTACGCTCTTAATGATAAAGTTGGTTGGCATTCCCTGTCTGAGTGATGTTAGAAACATTGGTAGTTATTTATCTACAAAGCCATTAGTGGAAAACTGTCTTCTTATATCTCAGCCCTGCTGCTTTGGCAGTCTGGCCCATACTTAACACGCTCCAGCGTGACTGGCTGATGCTTCAGAAACCCCGAACCACAACCGATCTAGGAAAGACTGCCTTTGCTGTTAGTGCAGAAATTTAATGGAATAATCAGCACTGGCAGTTAAAAGTCAAAGCACTTATGCCTCCCTGTAACTTCAAAACACATCCTCATTAATCATTCTCATCCTGCTTCTGACTGTTTTCCTTCAGACTCTACTTTTTATATTGTCTATTTTCTGTTTCGTCAATGTGTTTGTCTTTCCTTCTTGCTTGATGATGTCTTTTAACTGTGAACAGGGTGTTGCCCTGTATAAACAAGGCGGGGGACAAATTCCACTGTCCTTATTCTTTGCAAATATGTATTGAAAAATGGATTTGAAACTAATGTGAGATCTCAGCGATTTGAGTTGATCAGATTAAGTGGATATCTTCCAGAGTTAAAAGTACAAAGTTCCCTTTTTTTTTTAGTTACTGATCTCCCACTGCAGCTCAACAGGCAAACACTGTTGAGGGAAACAAAGGGGGGAGATTTTGTACTGAAAAGCTGCAGGGGGCGCCCCAGGCCCTATGCTGCATGTCATCCCCTCTCTTCCCCATCTCTCAACACTGAAAGTACATTACAAAGAGGATGTCTTTTAATGGCCAGTATGAACAAAAGGAATTATTGCAGGAAGTGAAACCTGTTTTAGTGTTCATATGGGCACCTGAATATTGTTTTAATACAGGCTTGAAAAATTGTGAAGCTATCCTTTAATACTGTTTTTGACATTTCAGTTTCTTTTTATTTTACGTCACACTGTAGTTTGAGTTAATATAGCCTTGACAGTGTTGAACACACCGTCATATTATCACAGTATTGAGATATGTGTGGTATAATAGGAGAATACAAGTTGAGCAGTAACTGATTGTAAGCTAAAGCTTGAAATCAAAGACTGATGGGGCGACATCTATTCAGAAAACATTTGTTTGTTTTGTTTCATACTATTAAAAGCTGCCCTGCATATTGAAAAACAAAAGGCCTTTCACATCTTGTATTTTGTATATATCCCTCACAAGGCCCCAAATAACTGTCATGTCCGTCTGCCAAAATATCTACTTCAGCTGTGGAACAGAAACATCCTGAGCTGCATGCAACTCTTTGGTAAAGATACTGAATTTAATTTTTATTTTATTTTATTTTTTCAAGTATTTTACATGCATCCACAAAAGAATAACAATTTAACACTGAAAACTGTGATACAAAGGTGGCTGGGCTGCTCTAATTGGCACACATGAACGCAGGCTTTCAACAATACTGGCCAACACAATCATCAGTAAGGCTCATTTTCCACACAACTCCTAAATCCTTACTGTAAATCACATGGTCTTGATTTCAGGGTGGCGACATCTTGTCCATATCTCAGGCTAAATTCACTTAGTGTTGCAGAGAAGTCCAACATTTATCAGCTTATTGTCTAGCTTTCATCTGCTACAGACTACAGACTAATTATAGCAAAATTACAAAATAAGGCAAAGGCATTATACAAAGACAAGAAACTGTAAGAGTTATTTACCCAAGATGAAAAAGTAACATCTATGTAATGACATCTCTATTTGATGGAAATTCACTAATTAAGTCCCAGGAGTAACACTGATCCCTGAATGTCCAGGTCCCTTTTCTCTTCACTAAAACAACGCTGCGGGTATTGTCCCTTTTTGAATTTTCTTTCACATTATTCCCTTCTGCTTGTTTGTCATTGGTCAGACTGAATAAAAGAAGAAGCCGTGAGTGTTTTTCCCTCTCTAAAATGATAATAACTAAGACACACACAAAATGTTAAAATCATAGGAGATTCATTTAACTCAGTTTTCATCAGGCGCTGCCTATCAGTAACCTGCAAGAAACACAGGACAGGAAACACACAGGTTGTTATAAACACAGCTCATTTGTATTTCCATTTGAACATTGGATCTTTATATCACTCTTGCAGTTTCTTTGGCAACAAAGTTTACAATCTGTCTTTGGTACACTCTGTACTAATTTGTAAAACATGATTTGTTCTCCCAAAGCGGAACTGTGGTATTCTCTTCCTCAATATTTAGTAACTTTACCTGTGGAAGGTCACTGTTAGACCATCTCATACTGGTTGTTGGTGATGTATCGAGACAAGCAGCAGGCCAGGAATATCCCAATGAGCTGAGGGGAAATAAGTTTATAAAAAATATAGAGTTGTCAAAACACAGATACAGTTCCAATCAAAGTACACCAAATGAATCTTTGTTCTTGTTTCATGAAAGGAAAAGAGTGTATGAAGCTAACCACATCAGTGCTCACGTTTTAATAACTGTACACATAATTAATTAACTAATTCTAAACGCTAAGGTTGAACTTTGACCTGTTGTACTGGCTTTTACAATGTGATGCTTGATCATTATCACTATGTTAGTGTGGCCATGTTTGTTTGTACATTCATATTATCTAGGCTGTGAAACCCATTGCTTGATATATTATTGAAACTTAATTATTTACTTTACAGTGAGCAGTAACATTTTGAAGGAGATTGGGGCAATTGAAGTGCAAAAATTTCACACTTAGAATTCAAACACTCACAGTGGCAGGGCATAAATATAGTGCACTTGTTTAGTGTAAATAGCAGAACACCAGTTACAGGAAGGGTTCTGCTTAGTGTTCTGCTATTTACACTTCTATTTCACAGTCAAAGGAGTCAACGTGTGAAATATAGACCTCAGAGCCTTGCCTGGTTCGCCATGGGTAGGGAGAGGCGACAGAAATCAGCTGAGCTGAACTTTCAAATCCAAGCAGGAAGAAGTTTTTACACATGATGTGATTTTGTTGAAAAAGCCCCCCCCAAAAAAAACCCCTTTAGCATTTTATGTCAACAAGTGCCTATGTTATTATGTGCACAGCGCATACAAAAAAGACAATTTACTGTCAAGTTCCTCTTTAACACTGAATGTAAACAGAAGTTTTGTTTGCACGAAAACACTGCAGGGCACCTTTATCTGGTTTAAACTGGGGATTTATTTTTCTATTTTTTCCCATGTCTGGTTTTCTGCCTTATTATTACTTATTGGTTTATTTGCCGGACAGTGCCCATTAATAAACACTGTCTAGGACAGATGTTACAAGGTTATCTGTCCAGATGTTGCCACACTACTCTCTGTGTCACTGCATCCCCAGGGGCTGGTTTCACAAAGATTTCATGGCTTCACAGATAGTCAGACTTCAGATAGACGTCTAAATTCATCCGTTGCACAAAGCACTTTAGTTCTTTAGACTATCATGAATCAGACTTTTTTCAAAATAAAAAAAATGGCCGACCAAGACCATCCAACCCCTGACCTCCGTTTACCCCAGCAGAAAATGTTTGTCTGCCGGAAGAATTCAACAGTTAAAAGTATGTTTTATTTCGGAAATTCAGCGAACAGTGTAACAATAAGAAGAACAATCTGATTTGGAAAAAAATTGCAGCGACGGTAAACATGGTCAATCTCACCGTTGACAGAAGCATCAAAAGATGTTCAAAAAAGATATAAAAATATGGTACAAGACGCAAAGAAAGAAATCTTTAAAAGAAAAAATCCTTTCCTCCACACACACCGGCCAGCAGCCTCCCAAGAGGGACAGATAGAGGCCAATGACAGCCAAGAAAACACAGCTAACATTAGGCCAATAATGCCTCTAGTGATTGTTTGAATGACAGCAGTCAAAAGAAAAATGTTGTACTTTGTGACGGTGGTTGTGGTATGCTAACGGTTGAGCCAGTAGCTAGCTGCTAACGATTTAACAATACAGCCTATGTGCAAGCTACCGGCAAGTTACATGTCAACAAACACTACAACTTGGCCTTCAGAATAAAGTAGTAGTACTGCGGTCTCTAAAAACTCTTTCCCCTTGCATTGCTCTTTCCATAACAATGTTGACAAACCACAAATTATGAGCCATGTTTTGTTTTTTGTTGTTTGGTGCTACTGGCCAGCACAGGTGTCATTGATTGTTACCATGGTAACATTAGTCTCAGACCTGAGATAGCCTGGGAGTAAGGTGTCTAATTTTTTGTCTTAGAATTAGTCAGTCTTTATTTTTGTGAAACAGTCTTACTAGCATTAGACTGATCTAATCTCTCAAATTAAGACTGGTCTAACACTACAGACCAGTCTGAGATATCTCTGTGAAACTGGCCCCAGATTTCAATGATGAAATTTATGAGTAAAATGTTTCCATAACTGACAGGAATGCTTGCCAAATCTACAAAAACTAGATTTGATGTTGGAAAAAGCTAACTGTACTTAAAACATGAAATATATAATGGCTCCATTTGTTCTGAGACAAAATAGAATAGAGAGAATAGCATATGATGTACCTGGAAAAATGCAATCCCAAAGGAGATCCCTGCGATGATTCCCAGGTTGGCCTCCATCACATGGGTCACCAATGCGAAGCAGCCCTACAGAGCAGAAATATAAAGGTTTATAGAGTGGCTTTCAAGGTTTTCTATAAACAGTCAGACCAGGGACCCTGCATGTTGCTAATACATACTTTTACAATATGACAGATTTGCGGCTATATAATATCCAGTTGGTGTAGGAAGTGAACTCACCGTCGTGTACACCTCTTTTTTAGCCTTGTCAAGGTCTTTCAGGGTCTCCTCTGAGCACTTGGTGTTGTCTTTACAGCAGCTGGTAGGGATGCCCTTCTCTTTAAAGTACTCTGTTTCACTCCAGTCAGTGTAATTTTTCACCCCGCAGCAATGCAACTACATGGAACAAATTTTATGGTTTTTACTCAACAGAAAACTGGGTCAAAAAATGTTTTAAGAATGTAAAAGAAACCCTTAAAAACAGCTGGATGTTGGTTTTCTCGCCACACTCGATGAGTGATGTCACTGCAGATGTTTTGCATAACTATTGAGAAAACACCTGCAGCGATAAAATGCTTGAAATTTTGAATCCACAGAGAGCAGTGCAGCAGTACTTCTCTGCTCTCTGTGGTTCAATGTTTAGTTACCCTTTAGAATATTCTTATATAAACACAAGTTCTTTGGTTTGCGCAGCGAGACTCAAACAAAGTCAGATAAAAACGACACCATTAGTGTAGTGGAAAACTAACTACTTACAGTCCTCTGTATGGCGTCAACTGCAGCGCTGCTGCTGTCAGTGGTATTGTAGTACTTCACAGCATTGTCATAGGCACTGCCCAATTTGGCTTTGATCTAAAGAAGTCAAAACAACAAAGAAGATATTTTAGTGAGCTGGTGTGATCCATTTGTGAAATATTTCACAGTTTTTGCACCAGTAACTCACCTCATGTCTGAAGATAAAGCCTGAGATGCCTGCTACAAGCTCAGCCAGGAACACCAAGGTCAAAAACATGGCATACTGAAGAAACAGAACAAGGGAGTTACACAAGGTCACAGGTCTGAAGGAAATATTTCAGGGGTTACTGGTCCTTCACTGACCAGTTTGAGCATCCATGGGCTGCCGCGACATGTAGCAAAGCAACCGAACAGTCCAAAAATAATGATGGTGGCTCCAGTCCCAATGAGGACATATGGTGCATTGGTACTCTCATCAGAAGCCAGGGCGAAATAGGCCTCCAGGCTCACCTTCCCCCACACCCCGACTGCCAGCAGGATCACGCCTGTGAACTGAAGGAGACAGCAGGGCGAGTCAGCTCCAACATCAAAGAGACACAGAGAAAGATGAGGAGGGTTTTTAGGGCTGTGTCTGACACAAAACCTAAGATTAAAGGCTCAAACCCACTTACCTAATGACCCACTGCTTCAGCAGGACTTTATCAAACCTGACTCATTTTCAATTATCAAATCTACAGTCTTAAGGTTTTACTTTCAATGATTTTAAGTAACAAAAATGAGGAGTCATTTTATGTTTATAAGCCAAAATGATAAGACTGACATTCAGACAGGTAAACTCAGATAAATGTGCTATTTATCTGAAGTACATCCCAAAGGTGCTAATGAAAACCATGAAGGATACAAGATTTGAGCAGATTTGTTTTCATCTTAATAAATCCAGGTACTGGATTACCAAAGTGGAACAAATTATTGAAACTAAACTCAAAAGGAGTGGCAGGAAATTAGTATGCAACAATTCTAATAATCAAATAATATAAATATAATATAATAATATAATATATAAATATAATAATCATTTAAATCTGTTCTAAAGCAAAAGTAGTAAACATTTGCTGGTTCCAGCTTCTTTATTGTGAAAACTTTCTGCTTTTCTTTGTCACTGTTTGTCTTGTCATATTAACAGTGAATTTTCTAAGGTTTTGGACTGCTGGTCGAAGAAACAAACAATCTGAATCTTGAGCTCTGGAAACTTGGGTGCAAAAAATGTGCAAAATTGGTGCTTTTCTTTGTCATATATCATGATTAATTTAATATCTTTGGCTTTGGACTGTCTGGACAAAACAAGTAATTTGAAGATGTATTGTGATGGCCATTTTCTCAGATTTTATTAACAATCAAACAATCAAATAAATAAATCAAGAAGAATATCTGTCATCTTATTTGATGTTGAAAATAACCATTAGCTGTAATCCTAATTTAAATCCAACCTTTTACACCAGCTAACTTCTTCCATTATGTTTAGTGGTAATGCTCTGTCTCAGGCCTCCTAACACAGCTCTAAAAATATCAAATTTTGCTGTTTACCAAACAGTTATCGTGCATACACAGCTCCTGAGACAGATCAGTGATTTGCACTAAATCTGGCAAATATCAAGGATAGGTTTAATTAAGAACCACGATGGGCTGAATCCAGGAAAAACACAATTTCCATTATTGATTTCCTTCATTAAATCTACACTGCTCCTCGGGGAAGGACATGCAGATGAAGACAAACAGATGAGTTAGAGGAGGATATTTAAGCTCTGAGACTACATTTGTAATGAGTCTATAATATTGTTCACTGTCACCATATATTTGCTATATAACTCTTCTTCCACTTGTGCCAGTCATAAAGTACATGATTCATGTGCTGCAGGTTGTTTATTGACCTGTCAACATCATAGTAAAAACACATCTGGGATACCCCACTAGCTTCAGCCTGTGGTTCAATCATCATAGTATTTTTTCCTTTAAAACTGCCCACACAAGTTATTAGCCTGAGGGGAGGCATCAACTCAATCAGCAAAGAGCAATGTATTGTCAGATAAAAGCACTGACTTGAACTTTGTGTCAGCAGCAGCTGCCTGAGATGGCTGTTTGCTTGGTGCAAAGACTAATAGGTGGAGCAACGACAAGTGCTTATTTTTATCTGAATACAAGCTTATGTTTATTTTCCTTACTTGTAACTTTAATTATCAGTTATTCTGATGATTATTGTCTCGGTTAATTGTTTTGTTAATAAGTATTAGAAAACAGTAAAAATGCTTGCTATATTTTCCGGCAGCCCGAGGTCATGCATTCATATTGCTTGTTTCATTCGACCAACGGTCCAGATGTTCAGTTAACTATTAAAGAAAAGCATCAAATATATATAGCTGTAATATAGCTGTAACAGTTTGTCAATTAACTGATGTGGACTGACAGAAATCTAATTAACAACTATTTTGACAAGCAATAAATCTTTAGCAATAATGAAATCATTAATTTAAGCCTCATCAAATCCTCACATCTGAGAATTTGAAACAAGCAAATGTTTGGCTTTTTGGTAACACTTCATTTTAAAAGTCGAGGATTTCCTCATAATTCAGATCTTTTTTTCACAGCAGTACATTGAAATTTGTGGGATGTGCCTTCAGGCAAACATACAATTCAGGATATATGGAAAATAACGTTGCCAATAAAAGCTTATTAATGAATGCATATAAAATGATTAGTACCAAATAGCATAGTTTTAAAGCATAAATTAACCAGCCTATCAAATGGATGTGATATGGTTTCCTTGGCCTTTTACAGTAAACTGAAATAGGGCTACGGTTTGTAAATAAAATGTCAAAAAATAATTTAACACATCCTAAGGGGGTGTCTTCGAATGTATTATTTTATTCCACCACAGTCCAAAAGGACTAAAATATTATGTTTTCTATCATGTATGACAAAGAAAAGCATAAAATCTTCAAATTTAAGAGACTAGAAACAGCAACTGTTTGGCATTTATGCTTAAAAATAGTCGCAGATTAATTTACTGTGGATTCATACTCAACAACAAAAACAGCTAACTGCAGATTAGTGTAAAATCAATCGATGCCCGTTGATTAATCGACTACTCACTGCAGTTTCACCTAACTCATAATTGATGTGGACTGTAAAACAGCAAACTAACCTTCGATGGATAATGTATCACTTCTAATAACTTAGTTACACTGTAAGTTACTATGGTCACATGTTTTTTCTCAATCAGGGACACAAAATATACAGCAGGTTTTTAAGGACACGTAGGAAGCGTTGATACATTTTCTTCCGAGTGGCTGAACAACACAAACATCTGCTTCAACGTCTCCAACGGTCGGTACATTTTCAACAAGTGGTTCTTTAAGTCACACAAAACGAGCTCCACTTTAACGTGTGGACATTTATTCAACCTATTTAACTCCTTGCGTGTCCTTGTCATGATTTGAGGAAATGTTGTGGTTAGCCAGAGCCTTGTTGGCATCGACGCCGCTTTTAGCCCATTGTTGCTCCTTTAGCTTGTTGTCTTCCCCCCAGTAACATGTCATGCTACTCACCCAGAATATGAGGCTGTAGGAGATAAGGAAAGTCTTCAGGCAGGTAATCACTGGCTTCGTCTGAAGCCGTCGAGACGGCGGCGACATAGTGGTGTTTTTACTTTGGGTTGAGAAAAGAAGAGAAAAGTTCACTTCACTGCGCCTCTAAGGGGAAAGGAGAAAAAAACTTCGGGGATAAATCCAAGAAGAGAGGGGGAAGTGTCGTCACTAACCCAGATTCACTTTCCTGAAGGGATGAACAGATTTCCTCAGTCCAGACCAGCGTCTGGTCTGCAGTAACTTTTAAATCAAATCACCCTTAGGCACAAGTTTCAAAATAAAACACACAGCGAAAACAATGTAGCCTACATTAACGCAAACAGACAAAATGGGCAAATTAAAGAAAGGTGTTTTGTAAGGTTTTCTTTACAGATGTTTACAAATCCTACTTCGGTAAGAGTGGGCTAATACAACAATTCAATAAATATAATACAATGCAATAAATCTTCCTTCATGAAGGCTACAATGTTCAGTTGGTGTTGACACTGAGAGTCATTCATACAACATTATGCTCATTTTTGAGGCTGCAGTTTGTGGTGGTGCTGAATTGTGTTGCTTTTATTTTATTTTATCCACCCCATTTAGATCAGTGAGGGAAGATTATATAACACCCCCCTGTATAATGTAATGCACTTCAATATATTTTAAATATCTATAATAATGCTGAATTAACACAATATAAACTTTGACTTCCTTCTTATAATTTTGACTTATAAATCAGATCGTTTTACAAAATGAAAATTATGAAAAATTAAGTTAAAAGTTTGACTTATACCTCAGAATTTTGCTTTACTGTCTCCCAATATTAAATTGAGTCAGGCTTTTTATGTCATCATTTAAACCCAGTATAACTTAAAAAAAAAAAAAAAAACTAATTCAGACACAACTCTTTTATATGTCACATATGCTTTTATGTTGAAGGCAGCAGCGTTACTTCCTGCCTCATGCTGTCAGACTTTATACTCAGATACGGTTTGCCTCTGGTGAGGTGACACGGTCGTTTGGACAGAATTACATCAACTGGGTAAATACAGTTATCACAGCATGGCACAATGGCAGTTAAAGATAAAGAAAAGTACTCAAATTATGCACAACCATTGTCTAACGAAATTATGTGATGACACTTAATTTCTAAACAACGTGTTGTGTTAAATCGTGTAAGTGGACACTAGAAACATTACAACAAACCAGTGAGATCTGTTTTATAATTGTACAGCGTATTATCTGTTTTGTTTGTGAAGCACTTTGTAAACTTGTTCGGAAATAAATTATATAACATAGTGTTAATATCATGAAGTTAAAATAAAAACACACTACATTTCCCATAATGAATGAAAGATGAATTCACTACAGGAATAAGTTAGTAGCTATAGGGTAATAAATGTGTAATCTGTACAAGTCAGTACAGATTCCATTAGTCACACGATCAGTTCAGAAGGGATATTACAGGGAACGATTCTTCTGAATGCGTGTCAACTTTAATCTATATTATGATTTGTGGTCCATATAAACCTTCACTTTCTAGGCTTGTGAATCATTTGAAGGGGTGGGTTTATAGAAAATGGCTCAGCAGCGGTGGGAGGAAACACAGACATGAGAAGTCCGGTAGTGCCACCAAGTGGTTTTTGTCTTTGATGCTGAACTAGAAGGATCCTTTCTTTCCAAAAAACTGCGGATACTCTGGTTTTAACGGGAGCGCTCATCGTCCTCAGCAGAGACAATTAAATGTTTTTTAAAGTCGTTTATCATATTAGTTGTTAACTTTCTCCTGGATTATAACTTTGTACTTTGTCTTTTTTTTGTTGGACTCTGGGATCTGAACCAAAAACCGAAAGAAAACTTGGTTTTCCAGGAGGGTCATCTTTGACTTTCTGACATGCCCCCCAGCCGAATTGTTGTAGTGTTCACTTTATTCTTCACAGGTGAGTCAGTGGTCTAAACAATTGAAGTAAGAAAAATCATTCAAAGCATTTCTGTAGTTACGTATCGAAGTTCGTGAATTCTGAATATTATGTAATTTCATTCAGGCAGTCATGTCATTGGATTCCTGTTGTGCAAGAAGTAGCTACTCAGATCTTAAGTGGCCTAAATGAACTCCATTACAAGTCACAGTCCTTCACTGAAAATGTGACTTAAGTAAAAGTATCTAGCCTAAGTATTGTTGGCAAAATGGCCCCGTTATTGTAATACCAGTATATAGGCTAACAGTATATTCTCATGGTGCAGTAATGTGTAGGCAAAATTATGCTGTACAATAAAATTTAACTACTATTATAACTGTTTCATATAAGGCTGTAGCTAATGACTATTGTCATTATTGATAATTTTCCTGATTTGGCTTGGCCTGTAAAAAGTCAAAACATAGTGAGAAATTACCCAAAGAGCCCAAAGTGGCATCATCAAACCCACAAATTATTAAGTTTACTGTCATTTAAGACAATGAAAAGCAGCAAATTCTCATATTTAAGAAAGGTGAACCATGAAATCTGTGGCATTTCTCCATAAAAAAATAAACTTATATCAAGACAGTTGCAGGTTAATTTTCTGTCAATCACCATAAATACATTTAATCTGTAAGGATATTCTATATGCTCTTCACATGTAAAATCTGAATTTGTAACTAGTAACTACAGCACTCAGATAAATGTAGTGCACTACACTACTTAAAAGTGTAAATTAGAAATAGAAATATTAATAGCAAATAAATAAATAAATAATACTATATATAATGGATTGATAGAGACAGATGAAGACACTCAAACATCCACCTTCCTTCCCTCTAGTTGGGAAATAGCTTCATCTCGGCAGTAATAACAACTGTATTAGATGCAGATGTGCAGAATTTTTTAGGTGACTGGATGAATGCAAATGAAGCCTGCCCCCCCCTTCAGGAATGAAGAGCCAGGATGCAGCTCCTCCACAGCAACTCCCATCATGCAACTGGCCACAGTCCAGTCAAAATGAATTCACAATAAATATGCTGTAGTTGAGCTGAACTTCCCCTTCGTGTGCTTCTCTCTGCTTTGCTGACCAGGCAGTTTAATTACAGCTCGGCTCCAATCACTGGCAGTTAATTACTGAGGAGTCCCCCTCCGGGCCGAGTGTGCTCAAGCCTTCATTTAATCCTGCAAGATAATGACGTGACCTGAGATCCTTCCAGAGGCACACAGGCTCAGACGATAATGTAGAGTGATTGAAACGATGCTGGTCATTATCTCAGCTTTGTCATTAGAGATAGATGAAACCTCAAACAGGCATCATTTGTCAAACTACACACCTTCCTCTTGTGTGAGTCACTCCTGCTGCATGGACTCACTCTGCCAGCAGTGTGAATGTCTCTGTGGTAAAGTCAGCACTCTGACTGGTGCCTGATGCACAGTGTATGTCAGTGTCTTGGTATCTGCACCCAAGTGTATGACTTTTAAACAAGAAGTATGGACAGTCACTTCATACCTGCCTCAGGCCTTTGCCTGGCTGGCGCATACTGTAAATCATCCTTATGAAACCACTGGTTTAATCTTTGACTGTGTGTTGAGTTATATAATTATCATACTTTAAGTAACATCTTAATCTGAAAAGAAACTTGTAACTATAGCTGTGAGTTAAATGTAGTACAGTAAAAAGTGCAATATTTCCCTCAGAAATGTGGTGGGGCAGAAGTCAAATAAAATGGTCAAGTAAAGTACAAGTATCTCAAAAAAGTGAATAAATCTACTTAATTTCACCACTGCAGTCGATTTACCTGCATGTAATAAAAAAAGATTCCTAATTGCCATATACATTATGGAGCATGTCGTCTACAAAGCACCTGAAGTAATGTCTGCGGCCTGTCTCTGCTGATGAGCTTGTTTATTTCCTCTGTGACTAATTCTATGTAAGGGGTACTGGGGAAGTGTTACTGAGTGGAACATTGTGCTCATTATGAGAAAAACGCTGATGATAGTTTTATCCCACACATCTGTGGAACAATCTGGAGCAACCTCCACAATAGAGAGGCCGAATGTGAAGCCCTGTTATTAATAGAAAGTATGTTAAAGTGAATTTAATTTGGTGTAGAGAAACTGTGCCAGCAGCAACGTACAAAACCGAGCCGAGCCAAAGGAAGCAGCACAGGAACTGACTTGAGACGGGGGCGGAGGTTGACAAACTGGAAAGTCTGGCACTCCGTTCTAAACATGGAATCATTTGCGGGATTTCAAAAGGGATAATGTGCCTGAACCACAACTGCTGAGAGCGAAGGATGACAGTGAAAAGGATGTATTGTGCAGAAAGACTCATTCAAAGACAAAATTCAGATTCAAGGCCGAAGTACAGTAAACGAGCCATGCTGCTTTTTTACATGGAAAGAGATGAGTAAGAGGGACCATCTCCAAGCAAGTAATGAAAACATGCAGTTTGCCCTAATTTGTGGTGAAGTTTATTGTTGAGTTAGAATTTTTATAATACAACGAAGACCAGAAAAACACTGCAGTATGAAGTCCAACATGTCATCTCTGCACCCACATCTACATTATTTTCTGTCCCTTCAAGAAAACAACACAATCTATAGACCATTTGCAAGATTTCCATGTTTTCTCTCCCTGCTCTCAGGTTAAAAGCCCTGAGGAGTTTCAGTTAGAGTCACTGATTGCAAAAACAGTTGTCTATGGACTGGAATGTTGTTGAGCCTGTGTGAAAGGAAACCTGGGAGGGAAGTTAAGGGAATGAGATTGTGTAGGGAGAATGATTTGCATGTCCGTCTCCCTCTGTATGACCTATGTATATAGATATTTGCTGTACATATACAGTATATAACACTCCAGACTGACTCCAGTTTGACTGACCAGAGAACTGTGTTTGGCATCTGACATTTTGGTTTGATGATGATGTCTGTTCCCACATGTCTGACTTTTCTTTGTTGTTTCAGCTGGCTCTGGCACCACAGTATATGACACTTACAGTGACTTTACCGAGGAAGACAACACTCCTCAACTAGACTACAAAGGTGCGTATTAAAAAACACACATTCACTAAGGGTGGGCAACGTGGTGATATAACACAGATGACCCGTTATGATATAGACATAAATCTGCTGCCATTCTGTGGTTGAAAAAAAAATCAAACAGTGTTTTGTATGTGCGACACCTTGCTAACCATTGATCTTGATCTAACCATTTTTTATGGTCTT